GGGTGGGGGGGCTGAACCCGGGCGGGTTGCGGGGGGAGCCTGCAGCGGGTCTGCCAGTGCCCTCACAAGGCGGCACGGGAATACGGCGGCCTGCAGCCAGCAGAGGACAAGGACCTGCCATTGCTACCCCAACTCCCAGCCTAGGGGGCTTCTCCAACTTACCATCCTCTGCGCATTTTATAACAGCTTCAAACTTTATACGTAAACTAAGGACAAAGGACAGGAGAAGTGGCAGAGGAAGCAGAGCAACAAAAACAGGTTAGAGAACGCAAAGGCAGCGAAATGAGAGGACGATATAAATAAACAGAATTTCTACTTCAGGAAAAAACAAAACCGGAGGTATTTACTTACTGTTCCACTGCAGTACACAGAGGCAAACTGTTACAAAATACACCATAACCATCGTAGATATCAGCCAGTGATAATATATTCTTATGTATTCAGCTCAGTGACAAGAAATCAAATAAAAATACGCATTTCAAGTGCCAAAAACTATCTAAACAGCTCATCTTTACATGAAAGCTAATTACGACAACCCTAATAAAAAGTATCTGAAATGTCAAGGACTTTCTCCTTCGATGTACTAAAAAGTTACAGTGATTATTATTTAGTCATTTTTATATAGTATTTACACTGTATAACACTTTGCGTTAACACTGTGCTAAAAGGACATTATTTCGGCTGGAGAGTTAATAAAAAATTTAAAAAATGCCAATGCCCAGCTCAGAAGTTCGTTGTAATCGGCCCGCCGAGCCTCGCTGATGGGTTTGGGGATGCCTACCCCACAGGCTACCATTTACGGTCTGACTTCACTAGAATGAACGAAGGTGTCATACTGGAAGTAAAAAAAAATCCCTGGGCCCAACCAGATAAGACAGAAACCTGGAAGAACAGAATCCAGAACTTTTTATTTTAAAAAAGTTTAATGAACAGCTTTGCTCATTCTAACCACCTCCTCTCCCTCTCCGACATCAATGGAGCAGCAGCTACAAAAGCAATGCAGCGAGTCTTCCTTTCTTTTAACTCCCAGTGTGGAAGTAAACAGAAACGCTAAAAATAAGCTGCGGTACAGTCTGTGTTGACAAAACACAGTGGTCACCCACTATTACCAGTCCTTTGCTCCAGCAGCCTATCTACTGAAGTTTTGCATCTTTCTCACAATTGCCTTTGCCTGGCGTGCATAGCTACGAAGACCAAATCTTTTCAGAATAAGTATGAGAATAATAGAGAGACCATCCAGTTACAAAGCATGGCTTCAGAGGACACGCTTTCTTCAGGGGATCATCTTTTGCTGTTAGAATAAGGCCTAGAAGATTTTAAGTTTCTGTACATACTCACCAGATCCTTTTCTGTCTTTTTATGGGCTAAAGCATCAACTTTGGCGTCAAGCTCGCCTTGAATTTGGTCTCTCCTTTTGAAAACACCCTTAATATAGAAGACAAAAAATAAGAAGTAAACCGCACCAAATTTTAGCCATCTATTCAGAAAACCATCAAACAACTTGGCCATTTAATAAATTAAGCAAGATCACAGAATGATGCCATTTAATAATTTTGACTTGATACATGTACTTTCCTCAAAAAAAATCTTAAAATCATGTAATGAAGACTTATTTTTCAATACCTGTATTTTATCTTACGTGTTTTTCAAGAATCTTAGTAAATCCAAAATCAGTACTGCAAGAATCTGCCATAGACATTATCATTGCAAGTTGTATGAGAAAAACTGCAAGAGCAGTTTACTTAGTATCAGCTCAACTTAACTATATATTCATATTTTAAAACAGCAGCATGAGTCTGCCAAATCTCATGAACAAAAGTATCTTCTTTGAGTAAAAGGTACAATATAAAGTAGAATAAATGACTAAAAATGGTATACCCAGCATTACTGAAATTGCGACTTTAACCTTCAGTATTATTTTGTAAGTGCCAAACGTGGTTCAGTAAAATCAGATAAAATGATCATAAAAATGATAAGTGTTCTAACATGGATATATGTGCTTATTTTCAGCATGTGTAATTATTTCCTCCTTTAAAACTGTCTTATCAGGTATTGGATTTTTAGCATAATGTCAAAAAATAATTAGAAAGGGGAAGGAACATTACTTGTTAAACTACAAAACAGGAACGATATTACAGATTAAATTTCCATTTCCGATGCTCATTTGCTCTGTGACCTTGAGGAAGCCTTACGAATTTCTCTTTGCCTTAGTTTCCTCATCTGTAAAAGCACACTCAGGTGTGCTTATCTTGCAGAAACATTGCAAGGCTTTAGTCCTTTAAAAAAAAAGAATCAGAAGCAGGACATATATAACGACAAATCTCAAAACTTCTTTTACATTACCTTGCCACAACTGGTTTTATTGCTTCTTCTGCATATACTAAAGAGATTTTCAGTATTCACCTCTAGCATAAGGCATGTTGAAACAGCACAGGGCACAAGCAGCTCTACCTTCTCTAGCTGTCTTATTTGACTGAGTTCTCTTTGAAATCTTGTCACTTTAACAAACACAATAGAATAATTTAGGAGGTTAATTTTCAAACAATGTTTCAATGTTTCTTTTTGAACAGGTACTCACTAGAAAAATTTAGTAAACCTGACTTTGGGCAATTCTGAGTAACAGATTAGCAATACATACTAATGCTCATAAATCTGCGTTTCAGTAGCTCAGAGTATCTTTTGGTTAGATAAATACAGAAAATGTTTAGCTGTAAGCATAGAAGCAAAACAAATATGTCTGGAACAGCTTTCCTTCATATTACAAATGCTTTCTTTTTTTTACTATTTCTTTTGCCTCTTTTAAAACTGCTTTAATGACTGTTTGTCAAATTTATCACAAATACTCCTTAAATTACAAAATAAACCCAATTATTTTAATATTAACGTGCTACAAATACAGACAAGTGCTGACTTCTAATGGCAAACAGAGGGACTATGTTTTTAAAACATATTATTATACTTTTACAATTTTTTGGTGTAATATTTAATGGTACCCGGCCACGAAACCCTCCAATAATTGTATGTGGACCCATAACCAATTTATTGCTGCAATTCGTACCCTGAGGCACAGCAGTACTCTGCACTCCCCAGATTTGGTCTGTGAGTCAGGAAGGAGCCAGTCCAAATGTACATATTTTAGCTATGAAATCATCTCTTCCCCAGTTTAAGGCTGAACTCCCAAGACTGGAAAATACAAGGATTGTATTGCATTGACCGCACCTTCTGCACATTTGCGCATGATCTTGGCAGCACCGCACAAAGGTCCCTGTGATGAGGGGTTAAACACGCCTCTGAAAGCAGGTTTTACGAGTGTGTGACTTCCCCTATTGCATTTTTATCAACTAGTAGTTCCCTGTCCAAGCTGTGAGAGGGAAGTAAACAGTAGGAAAAATAAAAATCCATGGCAAATGAAAGGAAAAGAACAGTTGTAGAACAGGAACAAGCTACTGGAGATTTTCCTCCGGACAGGACCTCAAGGCAGCCTAATGCTGCATTGCAAGTGTTGCATCAAGAACACTGCAAGCAGAAAAAAAAGCAATGAGCAACAGCTACTTGTAACGTGTGCACGAAGAGCCAGGTAGTCACTCTGGGGTTTGTCCACAAAAACCTCTCTGTGCCCTGGACAAAAGAGAACGCCTGAGAAAGGGTGAGCCAGGCTGCAGACTGGAAGGCAATGGGCAGGCAGCATCTCTTCAATAGCATGAAGGCTGGGATGGCTCACGGGTAACAGACTTAGAAATTCGGAAAAATAAATCTGGAAGTGGGGCAGAGGAAGAAGACCTGCAGTTGCAAGGACAGTAATCTCTTCAGACCTTTAAGCAAAGCAGTATCTACCTCCATCTACCTGCACGTACATGTAAATAAGGAGGCCTGCGAGATACAGGACATTTTGTATGGCCCTTCTTTCGGTGAAGCTGGTTTCAAAGACAGCAGTCATTGCAGCAGTAATTCTTAACCTCTCAGTAGCTAAGCCTTACTGAGAAACTGGCAGTGCTCTGCACAGTGCCAGCAAAGGCTGAGTTAACTTGGGTCTTGCTCTACCCATGGCCTGCAACACACTCTCCGCCCCTACTCAGAAACCACCGCAGCAGGGGCTGGGTTCCCAGCAGAGAGGCAAGAACGGATACTGCAGCTTGCATTGCTCAAAAACTAGACAAAGAGGGGGTTGTACACATTTTCTGCTTTCTGGAGGCAGCAGAGCGGGAATTATGGCATGCTGAATTCAGTTACTTAATCATGTTGATTATCCATCAGCACTGAGTTTATCAATTCTGAAGTCTGATTTTTTTACGTTCTCTCCAAGCGTAAGAAAAACACGTACACAAAGGGAACTGATAGCATCACCTTATGGCAAAGACTAACACGTGCTTATATAATGGCACAGGGACTGGAAGTTCCCTGCTGTTCTGGAAAAAGAAAACAGTTTAGGAACATCTCCTAGAAAGGGAAAAACCTCTCCACTCCTTTTCCCCCACACAATCTGTTACTCGATGAGTTCATATTTCAGCAGTGTCAGAGGAGGTCTTTCTCAGCTGCTGTTCCCCAAACCTTTCTGTGTTCCCGCCTCTCTCCTACAATGCAGAGCTCTCTGAAGATGGCAAAACCAGACGCTCTTTAGCCCAGCTACCAAGGGCTGCCTCCCATGCAAAACTATCAAGCTCTTCTCACCTGGAAGGGGTGCCTCTTGCCTGATTAACAAGGGGAACAGGAACAACCGGATTCCCTGCTAACGGACAGCAATCCTATGCTGCCCACGTTTAGCAACAACAGTAAATAGAGGGACTGCAAAACCATTTTCACCAGTTGCAAACTTTCTTCTTGTGTTTGTCACGGGACTAAGCCAAACTTTATATACAGCCATAAGCAATCCTTAAGGAAACCTTACCATCAGAATTTCACTGTAGAGAACGTATTCGTGTAAAATCGGCAGCAGGTTTTCCGACAGCCCTGCCATTCGCTTCTCCGTAGCCTTGCAGCACTTGTCAATGCAGCTGGCAACACCTTTTAGGGAGTCGGCTATATCTTCTTCCGATGCTGACCAGAGTGTGTGGATGGGGCCGTATTCCTTCATTTCATTAAAATACTCTTAACAGGAACATACACACATATTAGTCCTTTGTTCATTAATCGATGTGTAAGTGATACTAATTGCAACCTCATCTTTACTGTCAACAAAGAGACTGAGGCTAATGTTTAAATTTGCTCAAATGACCAAGATAAGTAAACTGCAGTTCATTGTTTACGAAAAAACTAATCAATTAATGTATTGTAATTAAGCAGTTCCCAGAAACCTATCAGCAAAAATGCCCCAGTCATTTTAAAAGGACAGGTGCACTCTGAGACCTGATGGGTTGTATTCAGTTCACCCCATGATCTGAATTACTTCACGTTGTCTTCACACAGAGGAACGGGAGCCATAGCAGCCCCCGGCAGCAGTTGGTGTGACTTGCTTCTACTGCCCTGAATTCTTCTGCTACAGTAATGCTCCGAATCCCACTATTAAAACCAGTAGCCTTGGTGTGTCCCAAAACCTGCAGAAGACACGCTGAAGTTCACTCCAGTTCTGCAGGTGTGACCTCCGTTAGTAGCTTTTATTAATCTAAATACACGGATATCCTACGAATTATTTCTCTGATGTCTCTAGGCCAAATGATAATCTGTAAGCAGAGAGAGAAAGGTCCAGAATTCACTGTGCCATTTGGCAGGGCTAAACTTGGGCAAGGCTGGCTATGACCTGGAAGCTGCATGTTCACAGGAGGGTACTGTGAACACATGGGTCATGTATTGAAAACACAATTTCATCACAACTGAATTTATAATGAAGAAATGTCCAAGAAAAGATGCAAAGCAGATGTGTGCCATGAAAAGTGTAATGTTTACTTTGAGATTAATTGGACAAAAAAAAACCCCGTGGAAGAGATAATTAAGAATCTCATGTTAGGAATGTTCTCTGAATCACAGCTATCAACAGTTCATATCCACGACAGTGCGGCCCTGCACACAACTGTTCTGCTAAGTGCTATTTGGCAAATCTAGAAAGAAGATAAAACCCACAGCATTTGGGAGCATGTCAAAATTCATAAGGTTTTCCAAGAAATATTTTGGCACTGATGCCTTGAACCTACAGACCTCAGCCTGCTATTTCCACTGAAGTGAATGATATCAAAAGGAAGTCTTTTCACTAACATGTATTTTCCCCAATTTAGTGAGGACACGCTGAGATCTGGTACTGCACAATAAAGCACAAGGGCTCAGTTATTAAAGAACACAGTGCAGCTCTTCAAATTATATTATACAGACAATAAAATCCCTGAAGTGCTCACCAGTGGAAATTCTACTGAACAGGCCTAGTCTGAGATTAGAGTCAACCTCAGAAAGTCAGTAATTTAGCGTTCAAGTAGGTGTTCAAACTGCTGTTACTTAAGGAAAAAATTGAGATTAAGTCATCCTTCTTAAGAAAACAGGCAGTTTCCCAAGACAGAAATTATGACCAACAGTAAAGCTATTAAAAAAAAATCTACTTGGTTAACACAGAAAAAAGGTGCAGAATGAAACCAAAAAAAGAGATCTGGAATTTAGACAGCATTATGCCGGTATAAGACAGCACAGAAAACTGTGACTATTTACATTCCACTGAAAGTACAAAACAAAAGGTCATGCAGCTTTCCAAAAAGCACAAGTAACAAGACAGCCATGCTTGCTACATTTTCTTCTTTCTAAGTTCCTTATCCAGTAGTTCAATGACACGTTAAAACTCTTCCTATTAACAAGGTATTCAAACTAACTTGAAGGCCTGCCAAAGCCAGGACCATTATGAAAAGCACAGTATGAACACCGATTTCCCTTTTCCCCTGCTTGCTGGAAAGAGTATTTTGCCTGGCACAATGAAAACTAATTTACTTTTCCAATATATTAATTTCTTAAATCAAGAAAACTGATATTTGTTTTCTACTTACCCCTTTCCTCCTTGTAAATTCTATGAGCTATTTTGTCTAGTACGTTTATTTTCTGACTAAACGTTTCCATGTAATCGTTCATTTCTGTAAACATTTCAGGACGATTTTTAACTCCTCCTCTTACTGAGGATGCTACAGCTCTGACGGTCTGGCCCATCCTGCTCAGCAAGCCGGGACCCTGCTTCTTGTGTGAGGAGAGTTCCTGTAGAGAGAACACGCCGTGTTTACGTCCATGTACTTTTTAAAATTCTCTGAAAATAATGCATACTTTAAAGCTTTTCTTTTTTTTTTTTTTTTTTTTAAACAAAACTACATACATAAGGCTCTGTGTGTCTTTTCAGTGTAGAAATCTTACTTAAAAATTATTAGACCAGTGTCAGAACCGTACCGGTCACGTGCATTTATTAGCTATTAGCTTTCTGGGCAAACACAAGCATGCCGTGTATCACGCTCTCACAAGAGTGATTAAAGATGGCAGAGAACCTTTACCCTTTCATTCCGTAGGGTGAGTTAGCTAGTTTGCAATTTAGCCTTTTGAACAGGAAAGCAGAGGCAATGATTGCAGAAATAAGTCACTGAGAAAAGCAAACAATGTTCCTACTGGAAGAAGTAATCCATCTATTTTTTGTGTAACTGTTGCTAGAATAACCTTTGCTGAAGTTCAGAAGCAGGCTTTTCTGAGTACAAAACTCCAATTTTCCACTGGACTCATCTTGCAAAAATACAACAGGAAATTCAAAGGCTGTATTTTTCTTTTATGAGACCCGTATAGCTTTTAAAAAAACGCAGATGAAAAAGACAGTGCCATGCCAAAACAATAATTAATTTAAAATACTACTTTTCATATAATCTTGGAAGCTTATGTGTATACCAAAAAGCACGCAGAGTTGAAATATTGTGAATTTGCCACAAAAATCCAAAATGCAGCAACAAAAACTGCTTTGGAAGGTAGAGCAATATTTATGGCCACATGCATGATTACCAAAAGAACAGAAGAAAAGGTTATCTTGGAGGATGAATATTCCATAAATCCCCTGCCTTCTTCTGACACTTCTGTAACAAGCTGTGGGAGGACACTATTGAATACTGAACTAGGGAGACTCCTGATACACTCTACTAAGACAAGATGTGGTTTCACATAACTGTAAAAAAAATAAAGTCATTTTACCCAGGCCTGTGCAGTAAGAAAAATTTTGAAGTCTTCATTAAAAGTTAAAGTTGGATGGTCAGCAATACGGTTCAAAAATTTATGTAAAGCTTTTCTTCGAGTCTCAATGAATTCATCACTAAATCGTTCCACCATTCCCTTCATTATGAATTTTTCAGGCAACGGCTAAGGAAGAAAGAAAAAATATATTGTATAATTTGCATAATATTAAAGGTATTATAATAGTTCTTCTACTTACTAAAAACCATAGGTATACCTTGTAGAACCCACCACGCAAAAACCAAATTGTTATAAAGTTATCACATTCAACAGTGGTATAACATGGTTCTTGTAGCACACAGTGCAGGCGAATACGAGTACAACTAAGAAAGAAGGACATAAATTACTGCAAATGGCACAGTTACAAATATAAGAAATACCTTTATGGGATTTTTCATTACCACATATGTATAAAGCTAATGAAACTAGGCTGGTTTAACATTTGTGAGATTTCAGAAACTGAACAAAGACTTCAAACATCTCTGTATAAAACTGGAGCCATCTTATAAACAAATAAAAATAACTTAAGTTTTAGCAAACGAACAGGAATAATCAGTGTTGGATGTGCTTCTTCAAGTTTGCTCTTCAGCCAAAGGAAATCCTGATATCGTCTTCGAACTTCATATTCGCTGGAGTCAAATTCACCACGAGATGTCTGAAAACCAGAGGCAGAAAAAAACAGACCCAGGTTAGAATAACAGAAAAAAAAAGAACAAAATAGTTTTAGATTTCGGAGAAAACTGAGTACTTGAAGGGAGTGCATACACGCTTCTATTTGGCCCATGTTATTTGCTTGCTGTTTTTTAAACTGCAATGACCAACTACTTGAAGAGATAAAACGCATCCCATTTTAGCAAGAAATCAAAGTTCTATTGTAAAAAAAAAAAAGAAAAGCAAGCACTAAACTGCCCACAGAGTGACTTATAATAATTAGCCTACCACAATGTTACCAAAAGATTTCAATCATTATTTTAGCATGGCATTTTCCTTTTAGCAATCACGGTTATGTTCATTACTTTTAGGGCACTTCTTTCAAAGTGATTAGTAATCTATGAGTGAGGAAAGCCCATTTTTAACATTCTGAAAAAAACCCTCAAATAGCTGACATACGTCCTTGGGACCTGCTGACACTAGCCAACAATCCCCACATTCAAAAGATGAAAACTTCAGCATATCATAGCAATAACGCTTCCTGCGCTGCTTAATGGATTCCGCGTTCCATCATCAATTTCAGTTTTGTAGCCCTTTGTTAGAACTTGCCAACAAACCTTTAATGCCTAGAAAAAATGCTTATTACAGTGTTGCAAAATTGTCAGACCATGAGATCTATTTGATCGCTGCTCTATCTTTTAGAATCAAGCCACAAAGAGCCCATGTTTTCATCGAAGTAATGCGTGCTGTTTAGCACTCATTGCTGCGCAGAGATTTATAATACGATGCAAGTAAATTCTAAAAACCTCAAAACACGCTTTCGTAATCTAAACATTTTTGAGGGTTGAATAAAAAATTTTCAAGGTATGTGGGAGGAATGCTATGACTTTATCATCGACAACCAGCACTTCAAATTAAATACGATAAGAAAGGACAGAAGAGATAAAAAAGCAAAAGCAATCCACCTTACAGCTCTTCCATACTTGCCTGAAGAAAAAATGTTCTCTCGTCTACAAAAACATGCATAAAGCTAAACTTATTGCTAGCAAGCTAACGAAGATAGCACTCTTCCTACTCTTTAAATATTTTATGAGGAATGGATATCTCCTCTTATTTAAGGATGAATAATTCCCATTTGAAAATTTGGTTTTAAATGAATCTTTTAAAAAGAACTCAAAGTAAAATAAATTAACAGTGAAATTCTCAAAATGCAGCCTGCAGAATATTTGCTGGTAATCCCAGAAGAGCTAGCTAGTCTCACAAGGTTAACTTTCTTCCTTCTTTCCAGTAAATAACTTGCATTCAGGACAGCTAAAAATACACTTAGTTGTTTCTTAATATTACTGTTCCACTGGAGAATTGTGGCAGTTTCCCCAGAAACCATATGCAACTGTAAATGGGAAACAAATGTCCATGGGATAGTGGACGCTGTAAGTACAAAAGAATGGAATTGAAAGACTTTGCAGCAGGTAACATTTATGCAAGACAAAAGACTGGTAGCCTGCAAGTGATCCAAAAGTCATAAATACTTGGGCTAATACTGAAGATCACAATAGAAAATGTTATTCTCATATAGAACTGATTTGGCTGTTGAAGAATTATTAGCTATTTTCTCAGCATAAAAACTGCAAGCACCTATGTGTGTAGACTTATACCGGATTTTTTTTTCAGAATCTACTGCACAGCTTCATACAGTTTTAGTGGTCTATAACTCATGGCAAAATCAGGGTATAATTTAAATTTAGTAATATCCCAGAGAATGGTATGCAAGAAGAGTGAAAATGCTACTACTGTTATCAACGTAAGCCGCTGTAGCCATGAGTAGATGCTTACCTTTGTGACTACTCTGTATGTAATAAACGTTTCAATGGCTGTAATGTGGCTTTCAGGGTCGTCGACTGTAATGAAGAGATCTCTTAATTCTGGTTCATCTTCAAATTTATACTGGTTTATCATTGATGAGGGGGATATTGGCATTGAAGGACTGAATGAGTTTACCTCAGCCAGAGATGTATCCTACAGATTAGACATGAGAACATCCATATCAATGCATCTTTATATCCAAACACACACATGCAAACACATGTCTCAGATGCTAAAATGGCAAGCTTTTAAATAGGCTGGTAAAACATAAAACACAGCACAGATGAAAGAATTATATAGTACATGGCAAATCTATTCTCCTTTTCAGCTTCAGTGAGGATGTAAGAAAGAAGAATGAGATTTATTCTAAAATTGATGAAAGAGCAAAATGCTACCATTTGACAAGAACGTTATGCATAGCTAGAAAGAGAACTTGCCTATGAATGTTAAAATTAGTTATGAATCCAAGCACCCAGTAATTGTGTAGGATACTTACCAGCTTTATTAAAATTGTTAGAAGGCAGTTACTCAGGACTTATGAAGTTTGAATTATCTCTAATAACCTGAACAGGGTGGATAAAAAATGATGATTTTGAAAGAAAACAAGACAAAATCCAAATGAGAATTTTTATTGGAATTGGATATTTCAGTTTGCATACATTTTAAAATAAAGTTTGACATGAAAAACTTCTAGAGAGACCTAAATTTAATCTTTTTAAAAAGAAAGACAGTAAGTAAGGATGCAGTACAAATTTGTTGCTTAGTTTCTAAAAAAAGCCAAACCACTGTTTTGCTGAAGTGGAAAACCACTTTTTGATAGCATCAACCACTTCCACCACAGCTCTCTAAGAATACAGCCCCATGGCCGCTGCTTCTGCTCAGTGCGTTCAGTGGTGATCACTCAAACGCTAAGAAACTGAGTGGAAATTAGAAACAGGCAAAAAAATCTCATTTTCTTTCTTAGATGCAAGTCTGGATGAGATCTACTAATCTAAAATCATGAAGGATACAGTGACTAGGAAAACAAATTACATTCACTAACACCATAAAAGAGCATAATAAATGAATAAATCACTAAAAATAATAAATTTGGGCAATTAAAATCAATCACTATGTTTTAAATATCAAACATTTTATACAGTTCGTCTAATATATCCAATGCAATGAAGTATTTTTATAACAAACTTTAAAATTAATCTGTTTTCTAGAAGTATAGTTAGGCTACACTAACTACCAAGTGGGAAAGTGCGCCCTTTCCAGTGCCTCACTATGGAGCAAGGAGAAAAGGGATGTTGCTAGGGAAAACTGCTCCAGTGGCAGGAGCAGAAACGTGGGAGTCCACAGAAAGGAGAGACACGGCATCATCCCCAGGCCGATCTCGTGGGAGCGAAGAGCACAGCACCGCAGTGCTGCGGAGCTTGGCGAGAGCTGCTTTTTTCCCTTTGAATTTAACTGGATCAAAACTTTCTCTGGGAGACGTTCTCCTCTCTTGTTCTTTTCCTGCCTTAAACCTCATTGCCTACTGCCATCCCTCTCCTTTGGATTTATCAACGTACTCCCACAAATACAGAGTAGAAATTTATATTAAGAATTATGCACAGAAAGCACTGAGGTACCAGTTCTCCTCCCATCATTTAGGTCCAGTTCTTTGAACAGGGAGACGAAAGCAGGACGGAAGACTAAAGGCAATGCTTTAAATATTACACAGCCGCTTACTTGTACACCTCTAAGTCATTTTATTTTTACTCAGTGTGTTCCTGCACATGATTTCTATATTGGTATCCAGCCAGCACTATCCTGAGTGGTGGGGGATTAATAGAGAAGCTGGTGTCACTGCCCGCTAGCGCTAGCTGGCCACGCTCTACATGAAGAACGAGGCCCGCTAGTTCAGAGCAGCCCATGTGATTCAAAGTGCTGAGACAACGGGAAATTTCCAGGGAAAGAAAAATGCATGTGAGCACGTAAGGGACTTGAACGGCCAGATAACTTGAGGAATAATGACTCTGCAAGGCCTAAATTGGATCAAGGCAAATGTGTTTCGTATTTTCTCATTTTCCATGGGTCATTAATACCTTAATGTTTCGTTCCTCCTTCTAGTCTGCTACTAAAAATTGCTCTATACAGGCAGGTTTCTGGAAGTATATTTTTATATGGAAGGGCTTATGAATATGTGGTTTGTGAAACAAAACATGGGCAATAAAAATCCATAGAATAAGCAGGTCTTCAGTTCTGTGGTAATACAGCTCTAATGTTCATCTGCACATGAATGAATGCATGCGAGTTTTAAACAAGCATCTGTTTCTCTTTCTTTATCCTCATGATACTTCAGGTTTACTTCCAGCAGTTCTTGAAGTTTATGTGATGTAAGTCTGATGTCATCACAGAAACATGGTAAAAAAAGATGATAATTTTCTATTTTCTATACAGCCGTAATTTTGTGGTTGGAACTATGTTTTGGTGTGCATACAGCTGAGGGCAGAAGGAGTTTCGTGGCACAGCAAAACCAGACAATTCTTCTAGCTCTTGGGTTGTATAATTTTTTTCTAAAAAAAAAAAACCAAACATTTTTCCTCTTCATCCAAGCAGAGCAAATCAAGGTCCTGTCCCAGATAACGATGTGCCTCCCCACGCCTACCCCAGGCCCACCTACCCGCAGTGCCCCTTCTCCCTTCCAAGCCCTTGCACTACTGACAGCAGTCGGCAGAGCCGTGCATGCCGATCGGCAAATAGGTTCATGCATTCTGGTTTACTGGCCAGGAGACCAAACAGGTAGAAAATCAACGAGCTCCTGGCAGCACGAGGGCCTTGTTCTGGGTCTCCTTCCTCTAATACTTGCAGTTACCCTGTCTCACTCTCACATTTGGCTGCAATGGGTCAGTAAGACTCCAAAATAAATAAGGGAAGGAAAACACTCATACAGCAGGAACAGCCTCAAAGTAGGCTGAGCACACAGCTGAGCCTGCAGCTCTCTGTAGAAAACATCAAGCCCGGGGGTTTGCCTAAACACCACTGCTCCCCAGAGCGCAGATCTTTGACTCAGGGTTGCCTCCATGCCTCATCCCTCCCTCCTTCCGTCCCTCCCTCCCAGCGAGGATCCAGAGCTTGAGGCCAGGGATCCAAAGCAGGTCTGGAGACAAAGGACGTGGTGGCAGAGTTTGTCTTGTAAGAGAATAGCGGAGTTGTTGGAGCACTCTTCAAAGAAGCAAAGAGATTCAGGAAGACAGAATAGTTCCTTAGCCAAAAAATCCACTTATAAATCAGTCTCAAATCCTTGATCGACTTGTTTTGGAAGAAAAATTAGCCTCTATGCAATTCTGAAGTGGCATGTACATCTTTTCCAGAAATACCATTAATTAAGTTTTCTGTAATTATGAAATGGAGACAAACACTGTAAAAGAGAGTTTGAAAGAAGAGCTGCTAATGATTTTAACTATTAACCGAAGTGCTGATAGCTTTGTCAATGCTAGGTCACCGTACCAGTTAACAAGGAAGGCAAAGATTAACTGAATGGGTATTGCGATATACGTGGTACTCCAGCCTTTGAAACTCATGGACAAAAGCAGGTTGAAAACATTGCATTTGTGTGACTCATAACTCAGCCCCCAGAAGTTGTCTCTGCCAAAAAGACCTCAGAACTTTTCCCATGGTAACAGAAACTAGGATAAAGCAAAATGCACGTCACATCATGAAATGCTTCACCAGAGCTGCCGAAGAAGATGCTAGTCTGTAATATTTGAGCTATGTCACAGGATACCGGGTCAATGGTTTATGACACTACCAGGTTAAATGTCTATGAATTTTCATAAAATAAAAGCCCTGTGTCTACATCTTGAGTAATAACTTATGGTATTGAGGCTGACAATTTCTAAGAATCTCATTTTTCACCATTTTGGTAGCTGGTACATTTCATTGACTAAACTGAGAAAAATGAAGTCGATGTCAGTGTCAGGCACCGAGCACCGCACTGCCGCTGCTGTCCCGCTTGGCCTGCAAATGCTATACCACTACCTTAAAGACAGTGGCGTGAGAAAGCCCATTAAGATACAATTTAAAACAAGGTGGTCCTGGAACAGTACGTTATGGAAAAATCAGTTTTACAAAACTTAGTCTGAAGCTTCATTTGGCCTGTCAGTTTCCCTTGAATATATGGAACATGAACAAATGGAGTGTAATCCCCAACCAACCTCACAGATTTTCATCAGCTCAAAAGAGCAGCCCTCAGATTGCACCTGAAAGCAAACTGTGAATTTCTGGTCTATATATAACCACTAAATGCAGATGTCCAAGCTTGGGAAAGAAGGCTGTATTTTCACATAGTATGACAAATTTTCTTGTTTGCAAGAATAAGTTATCACGTGGCATGCACTAATAGTAGTTAAGATTTAATGGAAGTAAGAAATATTTGGCATGAATCCAGGCAGAAGAAATTTAGATATAGATATTTGCCATATAGCAGCAGTAACTTGTATCAGCTACACTAGTTTTTATTTTTTATTCCCAAGGAGCATCGCTCTTGACAACCAAGCAGCATAACTGTTGATATGCTGTATTGATAGGCAGGTACCTGCGTGCAGAATTGCCTGAGCCTACCTAGTAAAAGCAAAAGGATTCAAAGTAAGAAACAAACAACTAAAATTATATTTTAGCACTGCTTTTGCATGCAAGTTCAGTGAATCATTCATCTCTTTATGTCAAATCAAGACTGGTGCTTTTCTAGAAAACATGATTTAGCTAGACCCTAGTTATGCTTCAGAAACACACAGATAACTGGGTGAAATTTAGCCTGACCTCTTGCATGTTATGGTCCATTAAATCACCTAATAGTCCCTTCTGGCCTTAAAATCCATGAACGTCAAGAATTTTACTACAGTCAAAGTTTACATAAATAGCTTCGAAGAATGAAGCTCTTATTCCAATGTTTTCATTCATGCATACCAAGAAATGTATCTCGTTTACAGAAGTATAAAAAATACACATTTAATTCATATGACAACCAGCCCTACTGGAAATACGTTGGGTGTCACATTTTCGAACAGGAAGCCTGTCTGCTGTGTCTCTCCAGTGTCACACATCCTGTCACACAGCACTTCAGAAGTCTCAGAAGGTGAGCAGGGCCTTAAGCCCCCTAGACATGTTCTTTCCACCTTAG